CAAGAGGCACAAATGCACCGACTGATGTAATTGGGAGAGAATACCCCCCCGTGGTTGGGGACCACTGGTGTATTGGACCCTGCCCTCCACCAAAAAAAAGTATTCTAGAATGTGAACGCAACATGTTGTGTCTAATCTTGTCAGGTTATGGGGAGTGTGGAACAATCCAAAGCCCTAATAAAGTTTAGAGCAGAAAATGAGGAGCAGTTCACCAAGAACTACAAAGCAACTCTGGGAGTGAGTAGCCTTACCTGCTGTTTTAACAATCCCATTCTGATCATGCATTTACCCATCCTAATGTTCATCACTGTAGGACAGCAGTCAAAGAGCTTGGCCTTACAGGGAAAATCACTGGCCGCAAAATTGCTGCCACAGGCAGCAAAAAAAGCAGGAGCCGAGTCCATTTTCCACCACTGTACCTCCACCAACACTGATGCCATCCACAGCAGCACGCCTTCTGTCCTTCAACACCAGCTGTTCAAGCCCTCCTCACCCCATCTCCCAGAAAGAGGGCAAGAAGAAACAATAATGGACTTCTTAAATTTCTTCAAACGAGAGTCGTAGAAGGAGCAAAAAAGGCACAAGGAAAATGAAGCCACAACTGAGAGGTCCCTCTGCCTGTTTACAAAGCTTGAAAAAAAGCAGTGAGAGCTGCTTGTGTTTACCTTTTAATGTACAATCAGTTTCAGCTTGTTTGGATGATTTTTGTTTTTTCCCAGTTTATTTGAAATACTGTTCCATATTTGTTATATAGTTTATGTTATACTTTTGTAAAATGTGAGTTCAGCTTCCCAAATACAAATATTTTTATAAATCAAATTGCTTGGTTGTTGTTTTTTGACTAAGTATCACCAATTCATACAGTATGACACATTATAAAACGAACTACAAAGCTTTTGCACATAATATAGAACTTTAATATAATGTATTAAAAATATAACAGCGCAACAATATAGACCATAAATAGTAATTATATACAAATTCTCATAACACATATCAAATATGTGCCTGAACTTCCCTATTTACAGGATTTGCCTGCATGGTTATTGAATATAAACCTTTATAATTTAAATAGTCTGTAGGCGCTGCCTTGCTGGGGCGGTCTGGAACAAAGGGGGTGGGGCGGCTAAGCAGGATGCACAAATTTAAGAGTAAGTGACAGTCATTCTCCCCACATGTCCGTCACAATTTGTTGATCGTGGAGATATTTGATAGACAAAAACTTAAAATATACTAGATGCTTATATCTGAAAATCCCGACCAGAAGAAGTCGGTAATTGTCCGATCAGGGTAGTAACAAACATTCCAAGGTGCAAAGTGAGGAAAAAGCAGAGCGCTGTGCTGATCTCATGGACACGTCAACCATAAACCAACCTTAAGCTGCTACTTATACCAGCAGCAAAGACAGAGACTCTCCCAGCTGACAGGCTATTATGCTACTACGTAGCTTGCTTTTCCAGGTAACGGCCTGCAGAACCTCTAAAGACTAACAATAATAGACAGCCTGCTGCCTCTGAAAGTTTTGACGCTCACTATTCTACATATGACAGCTTATTAAATATTTATATCAGAAGAGTATACCAGATGAACCAGTATGGTGGCCGCATCTAAAAGATATGATAACAAATTAACATGATTTAAGTGGCATAATCTTTTGGTGTAGTTTCTCTGGTTAAGGTCTTCAGATTATAGTTGAGGTAAATTGTTACCATATAAACTAACTTGAACAGCTTTTAAGTTTTTTTATTCGTGTGAGTCTTTCTGTGACAAGCCAAATTACTGCTGTTTCTAAAAGATTTATCGCACAAATCACAAAGATAAGGCCTCTCATTTGCGTGAGTTTTAAGGTGACAATTCAAAACGTGACTTCGTGTGAAAGATTTCCCGCACAGCCGACAGGTAAACGGCCTGTTTTCTATGTGAGTTTTCTTGTGACTAGCCAAATTACTGGAGTCTGTAAATGATTTATCACACAAGTCACAAGGATAAGGCTTTTCACCGGTGTGAATCCTGTAATGAAGAACTAGATTAGCCCTCCTTTTAAAAGCTTTATCACACAGGTCACAGCAATAAGGTTTCTCGCCTGTGTGAGTTTTAAGGTGATAGGTCAAATTTTGACTTTGTTGAAATGATTTGTTGCAGAAGTCACAGGAATAGGGTTTCTCCCCAGTGTGAGTCCTGAGGTGGCGCACCAGGTTAGTCCTGGTTATAAAAGATTTATCGCACACGTCACAAGAATAAGGCTTGTTACCTGTGTGGATTCTCATGTGAGCGGGCAAATAGTTACGCGACATAAAACATTTACCACATATTTCACATGAAACAGAACCTGCTTTGGGTTGTTTGACCTTGAAATCGTCCACTTTAGGCCTTTTGTCTTTGGAGTTCTGATTGGTCATCTGTGGATGAAGATCTTCATCTCTACTTGAACCCAACCCTTTCTGGTCGCCTCCCTGTTGATGCTGGTTCTCAGCTTCAGTGAATTCCCCCGTCAGGATGCGGTTAGGGTTTGGTTTGGGCTCACAGTCGTCTTTTTTTTCCTCAGAAAGTGTCACCATAACGCTGTCGGTCTCCTGCTTCACTGCAAGCTGATCTTCATCCTGATCTCTGCAGTGATCCTCCTCTTCGTCTTTGAACTTCGCAGGCACTTCTTGTTCCTCTTTCGTTTCTAATTCCTTCTTTATCTCAGTCATCTGATCCGGTTCTGGTCCATTATGAAATATTTCCCTATAAGCAGGAGGTCCCATCGAGGCATTTGTCTCCTGCTTCATTAGGAGCTGTCCTTCATCCTGTAGGATCCACAGATCAACATGTTCTGGTCCAAATGGTTGAGCTTCTGGTTCGTCTTTTGGCTCATTCCTCTGCTGTGGTTCTGGTTCTTCCGGTGCCTCTTCTATTCCTGTAATGTTTGGCGTCTTGTAGTCGAGAATAGAGTTCCTCTCCTCAGGGATTAGAAGATGGTCTAGTATCTCCCAGGTGGTGACAGACATGGCTCTGTGGAAGGTCTGGGAAATGAAGAACAGGAGAACATTGATACGGTGAACAGATGGGGTTCTGTTTATCTGCTGTGAAGACCAACACACACATGCAGCAAGTTTTTGGTCAGCAGGTCTCACTGATGCTTCCATTGTCAATGGAACCAAAATGATGTGAAGCTGAGAACTTTCCATGTTTCATGCAGTCATTCTTAGAAACATTAATAAGTGTTTTCAGCCATGAAGGTTATTTAATCTAGAGATTGACTGATACAGTTTTTTGTAAAGCAGATTATTTTGATAGTAAGTTAATCGATCCCTGATATCCATTGCCAATTTTGGCAATATTTTTTTCAGATACATATGATAATAAAAGTTATGGAGCAGCTGAACTGAAACTGAATTTCCATTGTGGGATTAATACAGTTTCTCCTAACTGGAAGTTTGTTATACAAGTCTCAATTTCATAAACATTTTTTAACAAATCTAATCAAACACTAAAGAGGGAATTTTTAAAAAGAGGGATTGGTAATACTTTGTGTGGAAAAGAAGTTGCACGGTGACAATCCAGGTGGGGTCCTCGCCAGCGTAATGCTGGAGCATAACGAGCCTCTAAGCTACACTGACATCGAGTCCCTTTGACATCTGGGCTTCATGTCCAGCGGAGTTCAACAAATATGCTAGTGAGGTTGTGACTCTTAAAGGTACATTGGAATTATGCGGATATGCTAACTTGTAATTCAGGCGTTTCTAAATATATTTCCTCATTATTGCTCAGAAACATGAAGGAAACCCTGTGAAAACGGGAACCCAGCTCACCGAGGCAGGCGGAACCATTGATGCGACAGGATATGCAGCCTGTGCTGCATTATTACTGTTGTTTTTACATATTAATTAAAGATTTTGTTGAACTTTTATAGAACCAAACTTTCAGAATAAATATTTCCACATGATCATGCTAGCTATGTTAACTTACCTTAAGGCTTACCATTTAGTACCAGAACTATTTTCAACAAATCGGCCTTTAGTGGCAGTGTAGGGCCCTATAAAATCTGTTTTATTTTTTCCCCAATTCCATTAAATTTTTTCCCAAATTCCATTTTTTTCCGTTTTAATTTTTGAAAATTCAGTTTTTTCCATTTTATATATGTATTTTTGCATTTCCAATCAATGGAATGTTGACAAAACTTGCAAAACAATAGTTCACCTGACACGTAAAAGTCACGAGGAAACTGCTCGGCTCTGTACTCAGGGCTTAGCTCCATGTTTCTCAACTTTTTCGCCAAAAGCGGAGCTGTGGAGAGCCATTTTTTTCAATGTTTTGATGGGGGAGGGTGAGCGGAAATGACGGAGCGAGAGGGGTTGTGTCGCCCAGATTTGCGTCCCCCGGTGTGCATTTCTCACCGACGTACGTTCTTCTCCCACACAAAGACAGAATTTCATTTCAAATGTAGAAATTCTGTGTTTACACTAGATTCCGCGTTAATTTGCCAATTCCACGATTCCGTGATCGCGGAAAATTATAGGGCCCTAGCAGTGGGAACAGCTCACTGACTTGTGTCTACCTGGGTCAGAGGACTGGGCAAGCGACCCGTGTTAAAGTCGCCTGCACAGCACTTTATGTAGAGCTTCTATAGTGTAAAAACTATTTTAGATTTCAATTTTGACAAAAATCATGGAACATGCAAGAAGCTTGTCGACCACTTTTCCCATTGCTGGAAAAAAGAGAAACTTGTCATTCTCTGTGTTTTCCTTGATATTCAAGCAGACATACTCATGATACAATTCCTTCATAATATCGTAATCAAAAAATAGTCCATAATAATTGCAAGCGCACTTTTTCATCAAATCTTGCAGCACTAGTGGGGTCCTTCAAATAGGGCTGTCGCGGTTGAGGAATTCCCCCTGTGATTATTCAAGGAGGCCAAATATTGCAATATGGGTATATCTTTTTTCTTTATTCTAATCTATTTCGCAAATTTGTTTGTATATTGTTAAATTACCAACTACATGGCAAAATTAAATTTTGAAATGGGGCCCTTAAACATTAAAAAAAAGGTTATAAAAAGACATGGCAATTTTATAACACTTTATTGAACGCAGATCAAAGGGCAGTAATGGCACAGATATGCCTCATTTCTCCGACTGAACTTAACAAAAACTAAATTCAGAAGAAGGCTGAACTTTTAAAGGCAAATTTGACTGCAGCATCTTTAATAAAAAAAAAAACAAGTACCCGTTTTGTTGTGTTTTTAACTTAAGTGCGCCTATACAAAATTAAATGTAACAGGCACTATAATTCTTCATTCTCACACAAACAAATGAGGGTGATTTAAAGCTCAGCCATGTCCTTGTTGTGGACGAGGAAAATCAGCACGTTAACCTTATGTGGTTCAAGAGGATCTGAGAGGGGTGACAACATTTCCAGCGACACTAAAAACCCTCTCTGACGGTGCGCTCGTTGGAGGAGCGACCAGAATGCAGGTTTCTCCACAGTGGAAAATGGCACCATCTCTTCAACCAGGTACAGTGTAACAGCAGCTGTTAGGTGTTTATGTCTGTCACTGTCTCTGCTGTACTTAGCGACTCGAGCAAAGGCTTCGCTGACTCCAAGCTGTCGACTGGCACCGACAAGAGCCGCCGCGCGACTCTGTGTGGCAGAAGGGCGTAACAGCTGGGTGGTAGTTCGCTAAACGAGCCCCTAAATTCGTTGTTTCCACGTTTTACTTGAACCGTTTTGCTGCAGATTTTACAAATTGCTTCATTTAAATTGTTCGGCTCCCCCTTTTCATTTGGCTGAAAACCGAAATGCTCCCAAAGGGACGAAGTAACATTTGGTTTTGATACCAGTGCAGCTGCCATTGTATCCTTCTCAACTGTTGTCCCAAGATGCAGTGATGGCAGTGGCTTCTTAATATCGCGATATGTAATTCGTGCGGTTACCGTGACAGCCCTAACTTCAAAGACTATGTCTCAGACATCAATTCGATCGGTTTGAGTCTTAAGCCACACATCATCTCCAAGTTTCACATCCCTATAATAACAGCACTCAAAGGCTACCTTCAAACTGCAGGCCTTGATGCTTAACTCCGATTCTTTTGTGTGGTAGTTCACATTTCCAAATAAATGCATGCATTGTATGTGATCTCCTGCAGCCCTGGATGATAAACTGCATATACACCGTTCAGACTTTTAGCTGGGAATATTTCATAGGGTCTACAGCTTGGTGTCACATCTTTAGGCTTTGCGGAGTGTAGGGGGTCCGGGGTATCCTTCTCCAGAAAATTTTGAAATTTAGACTCTCTGAAAAACTATTTCCTGCATTTTGAGGTGGAATGCAGCCAACTTGTTGTCTTTATTACAACACTACTTTGTCCTGATAATGGAAGGTATGTGTGCTTGAACAGAGGTGGAAATTCCATAAGGTAGACATGAGTTAATTTTTAGGTGCAATATTATGTTCCATAGGGTAATTCAAACAATCAAAGTGTAATTCTACATTCACACCACGCCTTGCACAGGAAAAAAGCATCTACTGCTTCATTTTTTATGCTTTTACACATTAAGGCTAGACGGGTGAAGTGCGTCCTGAAAAGTGTGTACTGATGCTTCTGCTGCTCCTTTGTTCAATGGCAAAGACTGGCTTTGCTATATATACTGTCATAAGTGGGTCAAAAGTAGTTTTATTATGAAAAAAAAATTATCTGGTTAGCCAGTTCATCAAGATCTCGATCCTGCCTTAATATAATACTTCGCTGTCGGAGCCGCTCAGACCCCCACATACCTGCTATGCGCTCACACTGGGAATCCAGCGACCGTTACCTCAGGTCCGGTCGCCTCTCTATAAGCTTTCCCTGCTGGTTCCATTGACAACAGTGCTGATGCAGAGCGCTATGATCGCTCCTCTGAAACTGTTTAATAACAACCAAATTAACTTAAAAGGTCAAAACCTGCTGGCAAAATATGTTCACTTTTATTATTCTGGTGCCTGCAGTTTTTACCACATACCTGAAAAACGCTAACATCTACTTCCAGGCGCTAAGAACGGGCATATGCGGTATGTGGGGGTCCAAGCGGCTCCGACACAAACAGTAACCTGGATGAACTGACTGCACAGACAATGTTTTCAGGTGGACTTTCACGCATAAAAATATTTTAAAAATACCTCTTACCCACTGATCACAGAAAATATAGCAAAGACGCTCTCCATTGGGAGTGAGACTCACCCATTTCACACACTCTCACTCCATATTCCCAATTTCTCACACTAAAAGATAACAGACATTACAACTTAACTCCATTACACTTATGTATAAAAATATCATGGTGATAAAAAACCAGTCCGCATTTTTAATACAACCTTATTGCTAAGCAGTGTTAGTTTCATCAACCATAAAGATGACGAAAATATTTCGTTAACGCCCCTTTTTCCCGTGACGATGACGACATAACGCACAAAAATTGTTTCCAGAAAATAAAAATATGACCAAAATAAAAAATTATTTTCGTCAACGAGACTAAAACCAGACAAAATTTACGATCCACTGACGAAAGGATATGAAGAAATGTAATTGTTTATAATTAATTTGTAATTGTTAATATAAGTGTTTCTTGAGCTTCATAGAAGATTACGCGTTGTTGCTGTTTGTCCCTACATGGCGCCTGTCCCCACGGTGGCTTGCAGCGCTCAGTCAGTGCTAGGAGAGGGCTCATACTCATAGCTCAACTTCGCAGTCATTGCAGATACCGGTGTGTGGTTTGTTAAACAACGCATGCATGTATGGAACCATTTCTAAAATTTGACTAAGACTAAAATTGATTTTCATCATTCAGACTAATACTAAAACTAAATCGGGAAGGCACTGACTAAATATGACTAAGACTAAAATGGATTTTTGTCATGGGCACGGATTGATAAACTGAGCGAACGGTTTTCCAATCCATTTGCGCAGGTTAAGAAACTGTGCTCTCGGTTTATTGATCCGTGCACGCAGATCAATAAACTGTGTGTCCTGCTTTGCATTCCGTACGCACACAGCTGCTCCGGAACCTTTAGAGTTCGATGCATGGGTCGCACCTACAAGGTAAGTTTAGTCAATTATTTGTTATGTATATATAAACATATAGACTTAGTGCAGTGCAATGTGTTAATGAGCATGCTTAAGAGCATGAACTTGCATCGAACTCTGAAGGTGCTGGAGCAGCTGTGTGATTGATCCTAGCGCACGGATCAATAAACCGAGAGCCCAGTTTCTTAATCTGCGTGCACGGATTGGAAAACCGTGCTCTCAGTTTATTCATTCATGCTCCACGGATTTCCACCGGCTTTTTTTTTTTACCCTGACATAGGGTGACCAAACATCCGTATTTCCCGGGACATATCCGTATTTCACGTCCTGTCCCGGGCGTCCCGGGTTTTTTTTAGAAAGTGAGGAAATGTCCTGATTTTTTAAATTACCGTAATTTAAATTTACAGGCACTAGGGCACTGCGCACGATGCTGCGTGTAACGTAATCCCTGAGCCGCGTCAGTGCGGGCAGCCCTGTTCTTAATCAGAATATAGACGGCAACAACATGCAAAAGCGCAAATGTATGTTTACCGACGATTTACAAAAGAGTTTCCCCGCTTTCAGACCGGGTCGACACAAATGGGAGGCCTTGTGCACAGTGTGCAAAGCAGGCACAGATGTCTCGGTGTCCAATGGAGGTTCAAGAAATCTGAAAAGCCACCTGGACTCCGGAAGTAAAAATAGTCTATTGATATGTTTGTTCGTTTTTGGTACATTTTGAATAATTTTTGCTACACAAGAGGTATTTTTTGTTAATTCTTAAATTTGTTAATTTATTTTTTCCAATAGCCTACAGAACAGACATTATTTCGTTCATTACTGAGGCTGAGTATCATCTGTTATTGGGAGTTGAGAGTTATTGTTAACTTTTATTGTTAAGTGAGGGATGTTTAGATGAGACATTATTTCTTTCATTGTGATTTTCATTCATTACAGCAATTGTTAAGCATTTTTAATAAATACATTTTGAATAAAATTATCATTTGTTATTGCTTTTGACTTATATTGAAAAACATTTTTAATAAATCAACTGTAAATATCATGTTATTGTAGGATTACGTAGGTCTATGTTAAGTGAGTGCATGCCACAGACATCGCTATGCATGAGAACAGAGATCCCCCCCGCTCCAAGGTGTCCTGGTTTTCCCAAATGAAAATATTGTCACCCTACCTGACACCCAGAGGGCTCCGTACTTTTCAAAAGATCAGCCACCATAGAAAAGACCAACCACATACAGAGAGGATGTGCAGAACAACTCAGTTATCCATAATTCATAGAGAAGAAACCACAGGGATGTTCTCATTTTAACAATACTTTTCTTATTAATATATCCTTATTTTGGTCCATTGAATATATTAATTTTATTTCCATCACATTTTCCAAATGAAACATCCAGAAAAGTGCCGTCTTGTGTCATGGTGATTTTTTATAGAATCTACAGCCTCCTAGAAGGTCTCAATTGTTTAGCTGTTTTGTCAATTGTAAGAAAAACTAATAACATAATGAATGAAGCTTTTTAAACTTTAGCCTATTAGCAAATATTCATACACAGTGAAGTTTGCATGGGATTCGATTGCACTGGTTCCTGTATTAGTGCCAGTAATCCAGTGATAACTTATTAGTTTCCCATTGTTTATTTTACTTAAACTGCAGAGAATAATTAATAAACAAAGTTGAGAAATTCTTAGTTTACAGTATGTTTAATATGCAAGGATTTCAGTAGGGCCCATTCTTCTTTACTTCAATTCTCAAAAAATCACTAGAATATAGAAAATAATATATATTGTGAGAAAAACTTTCCACATAACTACAGATCAATTATTGTTACTCAGTAATATTTATTGTGCTTTAAAAAAACTCACATTCTGACACTTTGTTTCAGTTAAATCCTCTGAAAACCTCCAACCTATAGCTGCACCTGTCCTCTTAATCTTTTGATCGAATCCTGAGTTCAAACTATTTCAAAATCTCACCCCAAGGTTAAAAGTTGCATTTTGATGTATGTGTGCCCATCAGTGCCGCCACTCCCCTTTCAGTTGCTCGTTTATTCAGACCACCGTGTGGTTCACTAACCTGCAGCTGATGTCCAGCAGTCAGAGCTGGTGCTCAATCTCTTCCTCTAGTCGATGTTTTTTTAATATTTCTGCAGCAGAAGGTTTTCTGTCTCTGGTGTTTCTGCAGAATCAGAAACATTCAGCTCACAGAGACAGAGTCCTTTACTAGACGACGAGAAAACAAGAGGAAACGCAGAAGCTAGCGCTGCTAGCGCCTCCTCCTTGTTTACTTCCGCCAGATGTCTCATTCTAAGCTCACCGTCAGAAACAGTAGCGGTGCTTTAAGTTCCGCCTCCAGCTCACTGATCTCTATTATTATTCACTACTGCGTTGCTGATTGCCCGTTGGTTGTATGGGGTTCAAGTGAAGCCAGCGGCCGCCATATTGGTACTCCCTAGTTAGACCGGTCGCAGTATAAACAAAGCGCGCGCTACAGCATCGAAAAAAGATGATGTTCTCATTTTCAGGGCGACTTAAGACGTTTAAAATAAGGATATATTCACCACTTTGACACACTTGCTGTTTCGTAGAATAAGTAGGTAACTTTAACTTATGAGGAAAAAAAATAGGCACATCCAGTTTGAAGTCAATGAAGTCTCTTAATCGTGTAATATAACATATTATACAAATCCATCACAATAAAATTAATGTGTAGCACAATAATACAGATAAATTGATGAAGTACATGTAATAAACATGTATTTATTACATTGTTACGGTAATTACATCTTATATGTCTGATAATGCATGCTATAAAACTAACTCTTCCTCACCCATCGCGGGTGGTCTCTCCTCTTTTTTCCTCCAAGCTCAGGTCCTCTACCAGAGGCCTGGGAGCTTGAGGGTTCTGCGCAGTATCTTTGCTGTTCCTAGAACTGCACTCTTCTGGACCGAGATGTCTGATGTATTTCCAGGGATCTGCTGCAATACATCTTCAAGTTAGGGGGTCACTGTTCTGAGGGCCCCAATGACCACAGGCATCAGGGTTTCTCCAGCTCTTCTCTGAGCCCCTGGTATTTCTCTAGTTTTTCATGTTCGTTTTTCCTGATGTTGCAGTCACTTGGTATTGCTATGTCAACCACAACCACTTTACTCTCCTTTTTGCCCACCACCACAATGTCCTGTTGGTTTGCCATTACCATTCAGTCCATTTTTATCTGGAAGTCCCACAGGATCTTGGCTTGATCATTCTCTACCATCTTTGGAGGTGTTTCCCACTTTGACATCTGTGCAGCCCAAACTCTGCACAGATGTTCCTGTGCACTATTCCAGCCACTTGGTTATGGCGCTCCATGAAAGCTTTCCCGGCCTCTTACAACCTGCAGTTACTGTATGTGCTGGATTGTCTCAGGGGCCTCATATTATATATATATATATATATATATATATATATATATACA